TGTTCCTGCAGCCATCCTCTCTTTTACCTCCATTCTCTTCTGTTTCTCATTCTCCCTCAATCTCTCTATCTCTTTCTCCGTCTCTGGGGAGTACTGATTTCCTTACAATCAATAATAATGATTAAGCTGTCTGCTGTTGACAATTACCTGACACAATAGCTGCTGTTGTGTTCCTCCATTTAGCTTATTTTGTCGGAAAAAAGACGTTGGGATAAAGAATGGCTCCATCACGTTTATTCTGCCAATTACTATGGTTCGCTGTGTCTAAAACACTGAATACTATTGTTTGTTTCATGTGCCGACAATTGAAGACTATGGGTTGGGTTTTGGTTGCTCGAGGATAAGAATTGGGCGGCTGTGTTTCCATAATATTATACAATGCAAAAAGGGTGAGGTGAGGGATATTTAGCTGCAACATGCAATTTCACCAAAAAGGTTCAGTGTGTAGAATTTAGTGACATCTTGTAGTGAAGTCACATCAGCTGAATCCACCTCACCCTCCCCTTCCGAACATGAGAGAGAACCTGTGGTAGCCTTCAGTTGTCAAAAAAACTCAAAAGGTTTAGTTTGAAATATAAAGTTTTATAAAAAGCTCATTCTATGGTAAAGAAAACAACAATTCGTTCAAGATAAAACACATTGCACTTATTTTATATTCAATTTCTGCTTATAGATCCTTTCACCCAAATCTTACACACTGAACCTGTTAGTGTCAGCCTCTACATGTTGGATCTGTCTCTGTTTTACTGACACTCTTGTTTGATCCTTATCATAGAAGTTGGGAAGAGAAGTTCACGTCACATGGCAGTAATGTTAACATTCATTTGCCAACTCAAAGCTGGCCATTGTGCAAACCCAGTTTAATTACGGTCTTTACTGTGTCTGTAGCTTCGCCTTTTGATTGTTTTGATTGAAGATTGAAGACTTTAACTTGAAGACTTTAACTTAAATTCCCATGATAAATAAACAGCCATCTCCTTGTAGTGTTCATTATTTACCGTCTCAAATCTTTCCTTTGAATGACCCTCATGATTTTCCAATCCAGCTGAATTCTCACACAAGCGGTTTTTAAAGTAGACCTTATTTAGTCCCACGGACTGCAGGAGTCATTTCTGCTTCATGTTGAGAGCATGTCCACAGAGAACACAAACTTTCTAGTCCTGTGCATGGCTCAGTGGCTGCATGCACTGAAGGTCTTTGTGGTACTGCCACTCGCCTCAGCATTTCCCTTCTCTTTGTGCTCCGTCCAACAAAAGTAATGATGTCTTTGAGAACAGCTTCCCTTCCTGCCTCTCTAAATCAAGAGCTGCAGCTCAGCCGGTTGTTTGCATTAAAACAAGGCTTTTATTGTAAACAGGGCTCGAGCCGACCGATAAGAAAGCTTTAGAACTTCAATTGTTTACTGCCCGCTGGCCTTGATTGCTAATGTCTGTGTGGATTCAAGTTGTAAATTCCTGAAATGTGAACTGTCTATTCATGAGCTGTTCTGCTCTTGCTTTGGGTTTATTGCATTTTCAGGGAAAGAGAAGCATTTTATTTGAGCTGCACATTCACAAGTGTCTCCATGTCAATCAGTATCTGTGGAGATTTCTCTTGCTAAATGTTTTTAACCTTCCATCGAACCACCATCCATCTTCCTCTGCTATCTTGCCAATCATGCTCCTGTCTTAAATCTAACAGAATCAGAGGAAATTGCAAACTTGCAGAGAAGTAACATGCGCATGTAAAATCAATTGAGATACAAAAAAGATGTAACATGTTGTAGTAGAATAGCTGTGTTCTCACCCGCTCCCCTGTGGATTACCCAGAGGCCATCTGTGTTCCTCACAGTGTTTTGTACCTGGGGGCTTGTTGGAAACCAGGCCAACCCACATTTGTGTTCCACACACTGCGGCGACTCTCTTCCACACTCGTATTTCAAAGCTCTCTCTCTCTCTCTGTCACACAGACACACATACACACACTCTCTCTCTCTCTCTCTCTCTGTTTTACACTCTCTGGTGGCTGTGTCCCCTCTGGTATGTGGACAGCACATCAATGTGAACATTAAAGGTTACACGGCTTGACAGAACGACACATTCACAACTCCAACCTGACACTTTACTGTACAGCCTTTGATCACACACTCACACGCACACACACACGCTGTCTATCAGGCACATCAGCAATAACAGGAGCCTTTAATTCATCTAACCCCACCACTTAAAGCACTTTGCTTTTGCAAAGTTTTTTGTATAAAATCAATTAAATATGGCTGGAAAAGTAAAAATCCCACCTAACAATATTCAGCGACTGTATATCGAACGGCTTTGCCACTCTTAAGGTTGAGGAACTGTGAGATGCACTTGCGTAGACACTTCAGCACAGTGCCCAGCAGTGATGTTTTAAGTGTGAGCCAGTGTTGGCACAGGCCACTCACACATCAGCTTGGTCGGTCAGCAGTGAACTTTAAGTCAAAGGGCGTAATCCTGTTTCCCTGAGCCTTTCCAGGAAAAACAAACACATGAAATCATTACTTTTGCCACCCTTTGATGCATGGTAGGACCTTGCATTGTCGTTCCTCTCCTTTATGTGTGATATCTTTGAGGAAGTTATTGTGCCTGGTGCGATTGCGCTGCTTTGTAGCCTAAAGCAGGCAGTTATTTGTGATGTTGTTTTGTGTACTGTGTCACGGCCAGTGTTTCTCTTGGCTTCCCTCTCATCATCTCTAATTATACAACAATCTGGTGTCTTGTGCTCGCAGGTGCACGGAGGCACGCATGCATGGCTCCAGTGTCACTGTGGATGTGTGTGTATGCATGTGTGTTTACCACAAACCAACACAGAGAATTGAATTTATAACCACAGGCACATAGTAAAGAAACAGCATTGTTGAGTGTCCTTTTGAGCAATTAGCCTCTTCCCCCCACTACCTCTGAATATCCCTCACACCTACCATCTGCCTAACAAAATCCAATCAGCCTTTTGCACAAATGAGCCTGACCAGCTAAACCCATCCAGCCTTTTTTCTCTCACTTCCCTCAAACAGATTTAAGGTTCTTCTAATCAAGGCCCCTCACTGGGAGCAGTGGTGCAGGCTTTGCATTCGTTACTCAGCACACATCATGTTTGCAAAGCAGTTTTCAAACATGAACTCTGGAGAAGGTCCGCACAGACTTTCACAGTGTGGCGTTCATACATGAACAACGCAGCAGGAGATTCTCCAGTCAGATGTGCTCCCAGGAACGAAGACATCTCCAGAGGGTTCAAGTTATTTACAGCCTATTGTCACTGGTGTCGACTCTTATCACCAAATATTCTCTTGACATCTTCGTCTGTGTCAACTGGCAGAACTTCTTACTCCAGAGATATTTGTTTTAGGTTGTTTTTTTTTTCAGTTTCTGCATGCCACACGTCATCAAAATGCCCACTTGCTTGCATGGAATCCTCTTTATTCTCACATGGGCTCACTTGAACATTTTCCAAAGTTTTGACTCAGAAAGCATGCTTTCCACCATGCTGCTCCATGAATGTCACAAGATTGTCCAGTTTAGTGCACCTTGGAAAGCAGCTGTATGCAGCTCAAGTGATAAACATGAGGCCTAACACAGTGTGTGTTCTGCGTCCCAGGAGGAGAGGCCACAGAAAGAGAAAAAGAAAGAGAGATGGTTGAGGCGTCCTGTATATGCACTTGCAAGTGTGTATACAAACAGGGATCAGTTGGGCTGAGTGAGTCTAATGTACAGTGATTCTGTAACTGAATCAGAGGTTGATCAATCTTAATTATTATAATGACCCTAACCCTAACCCCTGATGATTTTCCAACTTGAATTTGGAGGCATTTTATGTTTAAAGAGCTCAGGCTAACTGGTACTTCACATGCTTTCTGCCATGCTGCTCCTTGTCTTTGGCAATAAATAGGTTATTGGTATCTGCCCCATGAATTTCTGTTTGATACTTCAAACTGACACAGCTTTTAGGAGCTAACAGCACAACCCTCATAGATTAAAACACAGGTAATGGAATGCCTGGGTGGTGAGGGATGGGTTACCATGGCGTTCGTTTCACTTACTTACAGACCATATATGGGGTCGGCTCTGGCTTCTCTCCAGGTTAATTGAAACCAACCCTCGCTCCAGCTTGATATATTTACACACAAATTGATGGCGGCCCTGCTCTGCCTGTTTCTTGGGTTAAATACCTTCGCTATTCTTTGAATACTCTACAACAGCACTTTGGTGTTAACAAATAGCGTTTGTAGAGTCGAGTCAGTCATGCATATTTGTTACTCCTCCATGTATGCATCTGCTCGCTGTCCTGTTAACCTGTAAATAAAAAATAATGCTATACAGGCAGGACGCAGGCTGTCCTCACCTGCATCACCTGCTGCTCTACCTGCTCTGTTAGAATATTTTGAGGGTGCAGTGGTCTGCTCAAGGGCTAGTTGGTAACGTAGTAGAAAATGTGCACACAGATATGAGTGCACATGCCAATTTGAGCACATTTCTGTAGAAACTACTTAATGGGTCAAATAAGCTGTTATAACTTTAGGATTTAAAATCTTTCAGAAGTTTTCATATTAAAGATTAAACATTATACAGCATCGGTGTCTGTCTTTATTGTCGACATCTACAGTCATGAGAGTTGCTTCTGTTGTTTTTTGGAGCAACACAGTTTTCATTTTTTGATTAGTTGGGTGCGATGGGCTTTAGGTGTGGTACACCACAGTAATTAGGCTGTCAGTCAAACCCAGATGGCTTGTGGCTAAAATGGGGAAGTCGCCTCGAAGGTTTTCAGATGGAGTTTCCTGTTCAGTTTAATTAATGATGCTAGAGTCTAAATATGTGATGTTCAACTACTTGCATGCTATTTTCTGTGCTGTGTGTATGATTAATTAATACATATACTAATTATTATAACAAGTAAGTAATAAATTAAATTAGTTAAATTTAAAATTTAATAAATCAATATTTTTGATTTTGACTAATGTCAAATGTGTCTTTATCTCCTTCTCGTACCAGATTGTATTTGAAGGAATCCGAGGCCAGAGCTTTGAGGGGGACATTGCCATCGACGACGTCTCCATCACCATAGGAAAGTGCAAACAGGAGAACACTGTAGCCAGCGCAGGTAAGACAGGTAAGATAGACTTGTGTTGAGTGGAGGGATGTAGAAAGACAAACACAAAGAATGTTTCCTTTCCACTCACTGTCTGTGCAGGCAAAGTTCAAGGCCACTATGAAGCGCTTTGCTTAGAAGGCACTTGCCTTTTTAGCAGATAAAGCAGTTGCTGAGAAGCTGACATTGAGCAGAATTAAACTGAGATGAACTCAACTGATTTCAGCAAAACAGAAATGAATTGAGGGACAGCAGAGAAGGGAATTAGTGTAGGGACACGATTTCAAAGGAACGAGCGAAAAAGAGCTAAATATCTTCTTAGTGTTTGGGAAGTGTGGAAATAGAGCAGTGAGAGCGGGGGCTGTCAGTGTGGGGGCTGAACGAAGACAAGTGGACACAGCAGGGCACCGGCGTGGAGGCGAACTCGAACCATCATCCTCGTCTGCGACCGCTCTCGTTGTATTTACTTTCCATCCCATTATCTTTAACTTTTCACAAAACAACCCCACTGACTCCCACACCCACCTTCATTTTATGCCTCTTACCTTTTTTTCTCTATTAGCCGTCTCCCTGTTATTAACTGCATACCGCTGCAGAACACTCCTCATCCTCGAAAGCTTGTTATTAACTCAGAAGAAAGAAACTGAGGCCAAAAAGGTGATTTTAAAGAAGTTGAGAAAAAAAACATCCATCCAACAGGGACAGTTGTTTTGTCTCCATGACATAACCAAGATTTCTCCACTCACACCAACATGCTCAACATGTGTAGAACACCACAATGCTATATTTTTATGCTAACTTCTACATACTGTTTGTGAGGCAGCACTTTGCCTGAAGGGTGAAGCAGAAAGACAAACCTCTGAGTTTCAGTGAGTGCACGTCCATGTGAGAGTGTACAGAGAGACTCAAACAGCCAGTAGACCAGACAGAGGGAGGGGTCGTGGAGAAGAGACAGAGGCAGAGAAAAGGTCAAAGACTGAGAGAGAGTGAAAGGATGCCTGTGTGTGAGAGAGAAAGAGAGAGAGAGAGAAATGTAAAGAGACTTCATCTTATTTTGGCATTTGTACCTGCTAGACTCACACTCACTTAAGTAACTACACTATTTAAAGGTAGCGTTGGTGACTTATCTTTTTATCTTATTTTTCTCCTTTGTTGAAATTCACATCCTGAAAGTAATCAATTGATAAAGTTTTATTAAAAAACTGTCTGTGGCCTCACAGGACTGAAATAAACCTCTGTCTCACACCTTGCTCTCAAATGACCGAAGTCTTAAGCCAAAGAGACATACGCCAGTGAAGCAGAGACAAAGGCCAAAAGTAATCAAGCAAGTCATGGAAAACTCAACTTCTAGCAGTTATCAAACAGTGTTCACGTGTTCCGAGGGTATAGCTTTGAAGATCGGGCCGATGGGAGGGGCATGGGATGGATCGGTTGCATTTTTTCTATGTGGATCTATGTTTTCTACAGGATCACCAACCCAGACTTTAAGATGTGTGCAGTTTGTAACATTATTCATCTTAAAATTGTATTACTAGATTTTAAATAACTGAATGGCCTCGTGTCGCCTCACAGATCAGACCTTCTCATCCCTGATACACCCCCTACACTTCAATTTGCTAAGCAGCTGTTACTCTCAGTACCCACAGCTTGAGACGGAGAGCTTTTACTAGGGCTCCAGAACTCTGGAATTACCTTCCTTCATCCTTCACACTAGCTCCCTCTTATATTAGAAAATGACTTTCAATTAGATGTTTAATCCATAGTCTACCACTATGAATTGTTTCAGCTTTAATTGTGCTATGTCTTTTCTGTTATGCATCTGTGAATCAGTGTAAACATAAAGATTAATATTTAACCTTTTGGTTTAGAAAATAAAACAAATCCCAAGTATACAAAAGAAAATACACCTACATAACTCACCCTTCATAGTTACAACCCAAATTAAATAATTAACTCCCAAAAAGCATCTTTCAATGAATGAAAAGTGGAAAATTAACCTCAGGTCAAGCACCTGACCGGGGGCCCTCTTTCAGACGGACAGGTATACATTAGATGCCACATGCATATAGTTTAATACTATAATCCAGATTTAGTGGTGCAACACGTGTGAACATTTTTTGCCCATGTTTTACTGCCATGTCCCACCACAAAGAATACCTCAGAGCCATGGAAACAACACAAAAGACAAAAATGACAAAGTGAATTATTAATAACCTGCCTTTACCTCCTCAAAGCCCCAATGTGAGTCGCCTGTGTGCGAGTGTGTGGATGGCTGTGTGCGATCTCACAAATATGTGCATGTAAAGACACTGGCGGATGGAGTGAATAATGGATGAAGGTGTAAACAGGAAGAGGAAAGCTCTGAAGCTCTCTGAGGGTGCGTGCATGTGCATTTGTGTCCTGCAGGTTTTTGCAGAGCTGTAAAGTGTAGACAGATGGATAATTATCAGGCAGGCGACTTAAGAGTCCTCGTCGCTGTAAGAAAACAAATGCATCTGTCTTGAGTATAGAGATTTTATGCCACCGTGGAGTCGGCAAAGGTAAACTGAGGATGAGATAAGGATTTAGCTCAACCTGTGCTCGTCAGCTTTGATGAATTCAAAATATGACTCACTCGAAATGTTTTAATCTGCCTTAATGCAAGATGCACAGGATTTATGGACAAGTAATTTTATACTGTGTGTGTGTGTGTGTGTGTTATCGTATTTCTGACCTCTTTGGGACTAATTTCAGCATTAACATCGACCTTGTCAGGACCAGTAGAACCCAAACCTGGTCCACATTAGGCAAAACATTATTTCAGAAGTCCTGGTCAAGGTTAGTCAGATGTGAATTGTGGGTAGGTTAGGGTTAAGGTTAGGTATGATTGATCATTGTTAAGGTTCGGCAAAAGGCATTTAGGACATGCTGCTCTCAATAAATGGAAGTCAATGCAAACTCCTAAGTGTAATGTGTCTGTCTGTGTGTGTGTGTGTGTGTGTGTGTACGTGTGCATGTCTATCTATAGTTATGAGGACCAATTTTGGTTCAATACCATCATTGTGAGGACATCCAGTTGGTGACGCTTCCTGGTCAGCTCTCTCTCTCGCTTGCTAATGCTGGTTTCTGTCAGAGACAATTATCAAACATGTCGGATATTTACGATTCGAGATCAGGGAGGCTCCACCTCAATTTGGAGCATTAAGATTATTTTGTAAACCCCCCACAGGATTATTAGGGCAGATACTCAGCACAGGGTGAGATACTCAGCACAGGGTGACTTCCAGTTGGGAATGCGATTGTCAGAAGTGTCGAATTGAGTCTAAAATTGACTTGATTATCCTCTAGTGTGCAGCAGCCTTAACATGACTGTGAAAATAATTATTCTTTCTCTTTCTCTCACACACCAACACACACAAACAAATGCACGGATACAGCAACTAACATTCACACATGTGCATTCACCAATAGTATTTTCAGAGGAGACTTGATTCCCACACGACTGTAAGCATTTAAATCCACATAAGCACACACATTACTTTATATGCACATACAGGGGACTGTTATCCTGCAATTCTCCACAAGTGAATCATTGCCAGCAACATGCTCGGTGCAACTCCACATATGTGTGAATTTAAAGGGCTCTACCTGCCTCAGTTGTGTGTGGATGGTAGAGAGGTTATAGAGGGGAAACATTTCTCCCAATGTTTTACTTTTAAATGAATCATCTTTTTTCTTCCATCATGTTGATAGTAGCAGTTAATAGTAATAATACCATTTTACACCATGACAGCACAGACAGATGTATGATGCATCATTATCACTGCCACATGATCACAGAAATAGACTTCCATGTTTCTTTTCTAGACTGTGTATGTGTGTGTGTGTGTGAGAGAGAGAGAGAGGGGGTTGGGTAGGATGGGTTAAAGGAAAGATGGAGAGAGACAAGTAGACAGCAAGATTTAAAACGCCATGTTCCATTCAATATGTTGCCAGCATACTTTAAGTTCTTGTTTGTGTGTTTGTGCATGTGTGTGTGTGTGTGTGTGAAAGGAAAGATGGAGAGAGACAAGTAGACAGCAAGATTTAAAACGCCATGTTCCATTCAATATGTTGCCAGCATACTTTAAGTTCTTGTTTGTGTGTTTGTGCATGTGTGTGTGTGTGTGTGTGAGAGAGTGTGTGTGTGTGTGTGTGTGTGTGTGTGTGTGTGTGTGTGTGTGTGTATGTGCATGCGTGTGGGCGGGTGGGTAAAATTGTGAGTGTGTATATGTGTGTGCTGTGTTTGGTTCAAAGCTTTATTATAAATATTGATCTTCTGCCTAGAGGATGGACCCTTGATATGAAATCATATTGATCTTTTAATGCAATACCTACTTTTTATTTATGAAACTTTGTGCAGCTTGCATGTGTAATTTGTTGCTGCATTTGTGTAATGCTGCAAGTGTGTATGTGTGTGGGTTCCTGTAATTACGTATTTGTGAGGACAATTTTTAGCATAGACCCTGACATTTTGACCGGTCCTCACATTTTCAATGGGCTGAGTAATGGTTAAGACTTTGTTTCAGGGTTAGGGTTGGAATTTTGTTTGGATGGTTAAGGTTAGGGTAAGGTGCTAGGGATTGTAAATCAATGAGTGTCCTCACTTAGAAGTAAAAACGTAGTTGTGTGTGTGTGTAAATGTATAGACTGAATTTGCATCTGTGCAGGAATTTGAACATAAAAAAAGCCATTGAGAAACTTCAGGACTTCAGAACAATTAAGTGACACCACATAAAAGATGCACATGCACAATAACATCCTGCAGAGGGAAAATAAAGAAAAACAATCCATCACGTATCGCTGATGATGACATCAATGGTAACTTATTTGAAATCTCAATGCTGGCAAGATAATGCGTGGGATCTCTCCGTCTCTCTTATTTGTTAACCCCTCCATCCCTTCATTCTTGGTTCTGTCTGACATCTTTTCTCTATGTGAGATCACAAAACACAGATCCATTTAATTACAACCTTCTGTCTGTTTTTTAACTTCAGTCAGATGGTTTGGTTTTGTTAAAATGATGGTACACAGAGGAAAGCTCTCCAAACTCTCTGCCACGCCGGACCTTTTTTAAGTTCACATGCATCAACCTTTAAGACGGCCTCAAGCCAAATAATTAACATGCACAGTTAAAATAATGCACACAAGACTCAAAGACATGAATTGTATATAAAATTGCACGTGTGAATAAAAGTCACAATTAACACCTTTTATCTAAATTTCATATACAGCAAAAAGAAAATGAAATACTGTGATGGTCACTAATTAAACAGATTTAACATTTCCCACATTAAATATGAGCAAGTGATCCACCTTATAATGAATGCATAATGAATAGCTCAAGTTATGTGAAACATTTCTACATTATTTTCACCATGTGATTACATAACAGTTTAATAAATGTATGATTATAAAACACATCTGTTTTCGTTTTTGTTTCCATAGTCCTGATCGGTGGCTCACACTCACTCCCATTGGCCAGCTGGCTGACCTTTGGCCTCTCCTGCTTGCTGTCGCTGCTCTACAGATGATGAGCACTTCTCAGCACAGCCACCACCTGTCTGCACGGCCAGATGCTGCCCTGACTCGCTCTTTTACTTCTCTCTCTGCCCTTCCCCCTCTCCTCCCCTCTACTTACTTGTCACCTCACCTGTCTGTCCTCCTCGCTCACTGTCTCTCTAACTTTCATGCATCCGTCTCATCTTTCCTGCTTATAGGTAAATGGTAACATAAAGTCTACTTTCCCCTCCTCCTGCTTTCTTTGAACATTTCCCCTGCAGACACTCTGCACTATAACCAACAGACTGTATTTAAGGTAAACATACTTAATGATCTTCGACAGTCGACCTTCACATCCTCCCACTTTGTCACCTTTTCCTTCTTCTCCTTCATCAAAACCCTTCACCCATACAAGCACCCTCTCATGTATCTCCACTCCCCTCAAACTGCAATCCTTGACGGCCCGATTCCCGAGACACACCAAAGTGTCGGACACTCTACCAAAGATGACAAAGGACCGGAGGGAATAAAGCAAGGGAACATGGATTCCAAGAAGAAAATGAAAGAGAGAGATAGAAAAATCCTTCTTTTTCACAGAAACTGTCTCCCATTTGTCCTAACCTTTGGGACCATGGGGGTGACTGAATGACAAAGAGAGAGATGAAAAGACTGATGAATGAATGAATAAATGAACAAATGAATGGCGAGGAAAGGACAAACCAGAAACAGAGGTAAAAAGATGGGTGCTCCTGGTAGCCTCTCTGCTCGCCCTCTGCTTGCCACAAGAGACGAACCTCAGTGCGGATTACACGTGTACATTTATCTATATATATAAATATATCAAATATAACAAAGTTTAAACTTAAACACAACAAGGACAGTGGAGGACTTTACAAAGTGAAATTAAAGAAGCACAACGTTTATACAACCTCTGCTGTTCCTTTGGGTTTTATTCTACTTATTATGTGATGTTGCGATTTGTCATACCTACTCAATGTTTTTGATATTTTGCTTTGGTTTTGTTTTGTTTACGGGTTTGAAGGGTCAAGGGAAATTGGTAATGGATTATTATATTAATATTTATGAGAGGAAGATGAGATGATTAGTGGACTGGAATCAAGCTCTTGGAGGAAATGTAAGAATGACCCTGAGCCACCTGGGTAGACACCTCAGCTCTTCTTCGCACAAACACTACATTACTGAACACTCACATTTACCTGGACACAAATAAACACACTCTTAGTTTTCCTTTCTGACGTCACAGTCTGGCCCTCTGCTCACCCTCTGCCTCAAATACACCTCTCTTCTGCGAAAGACGGAAAACAAAGAATGGTAGATTTATATTTCCAGCCTCTTTTTCATAATTGTTCCTCTGTCACTGGACGTCATGACTCAACGGAATAGATGCACTTCCTCTTATGAGGAAGAAAGGGAAAGTGCTGTGATATGAGAGGCAGAAGATATCCTGGAGTCTGGTTGAATAAATGATCAAAGAGCACGTCTTTCTCCGCAGGTTACTGAATGTCATGTAGGATTCCTTCATAACACTCCAATAGGTGGAAGGAGAGGAGTTTCAGTATCTGGCCAGTGTGCAGTGTGGATCACATATCAGATACTCTGTCATTGTTTCAATATCGTTGAATGTCTGTAGACTCAAGAATTTTCATAATTGCGTAGATATGATTGTTGAAGTCAAGCAATACTCACATCTATAGATCTATATGGTAGTTTATGATTTCATTTATGACAACAGTTCAGTCTGCATATACAAACCCTTGTTTTCTCCAAGATACAACATACTGGCTTCTTCTCTCATTTATGAGTTCTGATTTATTTAATACCAGTGTATTTGCCATTCATCAAATATCAGCAGTAGCTATGATGTAAATCATTCATGGCATTGTGTGCCTGTATTATTATTTTTTGCATCATGCTTCAATTGATCTCAAGAAAACTCTACATTTACCAGTTACACTGCTTCAATAACTGATTCGCTCATGTATGCTCATCATTCCCACGTGCATTTGACTGTGTTGTCATGTTTATCATTGCACTCGTTGTTTTGTTTGTTTGTTTGTCTTCTTTATTGTGGCTACAAATTGTCATAATAATTGTTCAGCCATAATGAGTAAATAAGAGAAATAATGTGCCTAATTCATCTTGAAAAGACATGCTTTCCTGTAAATGTATCTTTCTGCAACCATATACAGTTCTCTATAAGGCTAAGCTTAACATCTCTTTAAAACGCCTCTGTCTTTTCCCCAAAACACAACAGTAACAAACAGTGTTGGTTTTAAGGCCTTCGCTTTGATGTTTTGTCCAGCTCATATGGTTGAGGATGTAAACCTTAACAGTGTAGTTCTGGAAGTTAAAATCCCATTAATTTACTGAACAGAGCTTTGATTATTAGCCACAATATTGTAACCATCTGAGGTAGAGTTACCACTAGCTACGAGATGCTGAAACAATCTTATATGCTCCTATAGAGGCTCATTGTTATCATGGAAATGTGAACCAAAACCATGATAACCATCAGCTATGATTGGATCATTCAGAGTTACATAACATTTACCAGAATAGCGACCAGAGTGAGTCAGGTCATGCAGTGGTTTATGGGATATGTAGTTCCCTTACCCTTAAAATAATCATATACACCTACATATATACCTTTTCCTTTTTCCATTTAAATGTTTCTGTTTTGCTCAGAATCAAATGTTTGATGCTCATTGTTCATCTTGTAGCTGCTTGGCCTGGTTTCATTAGACATCAATGGAGGATATGAATGGGAAATTTACTTCCGGGAGAAAAGTTGTTCTAAAAGTGCGCGGTCACTGTTACGCTCTATTATATGTGGTATGTAAAAGAGCTTAAGTTGTACAGATCGTAATGATATCCATCACTATAGCAGCCCATTGTAGGTCAGTATGTAAACTGTATTAAATACATTTAGAAATATCATTAAGCATTGGTGTGCATGGCATTTCATCACGCTGACTCTCAAATCATTGCTCATATTGCCTCATTATAAAACAAAACCATTGTTATCATTGCATTTGGAGACATGACAGTTGAAAATTATCAGACACAGAAGTGAGGAAATCCTAAGATGTGCTGTTTTTTATTATTATTTCCAAAACTGACACACTCTGGTTGTGTTTTGGCTTTTTTTTGTTACAATTTATGACTCAAGTGTAATGGTGAAGACGCTGTATTATTGCACCCACCTGAGAACAGAATCTCAAAGCATAACATACATGTGTGCAGTTAATCCAATCTGTTGCTCAGCTATTAGAACAATTATCACTGAGTTGACTGATGAAGCAACTAATATCCCTTGTTGTGGAAGACATGTGGCAAGATGGCTGTGTAGCAAACTGACTGCAGCCGTATCCATGTGATCCTGAATGATACAGCAACATGTTTTAATCCAATATAAATCAACAGAACATCTTCAGTTGGAGAAATATACAATTTCATTAACGGTTTAATCATTGCCATTTCTCAGTATTTCAGTGAGTGCAACAGAAGCAAAACTGCATTTGGACATCAGAGGAGACCCACAGTGAGGTTTGCATATATTTGCCATAATAAAATCACATTCTGAAAGTTTCACTTATTATTGAAGTCATATTCATTGTTTTTGTAGAAAAAGGACCATTGGTTGTTAACATCTGTTAATGAAATTAAAATTTAAAAAAGCAAAGAAATAAAAATATGTCCATTGGTAGTAAACATACAAATCATCTTTTACATGCAGATCATGATACAGTGCATCATAAACAAAGTAAGAACATGTAGCACAACTGCCATTTAAAAAAAAAAAACTAAAATAAAAGCAAACTCAACTTAAATAAAATCAACATCTGTACTTTTTTAAACCAGTAAACATAATGACAGAGTTGCAGTTTTTTTAGAAACTGATCTGGACTGAAGTGACTTCAATTCTGGTTAACATAATTTTGATAAAAATAAACCAAAGACAAGCCAAATAACTTAATGTTTACTGCATGAATTAGAAATGAAAACAATTTGTAGTTTGTTTTTCTCTTATTAGGCAGGTGACACAGTAAATTTACTTACGATAATTTTAGATGCTGGTTCACTGACCTTTTCCACTTTTGTGTTGTGTTATCTGAGCCTCTGTAGAGCTGCACATGTACACACACACACCCATTGGATACATACACACTCATATAAAAACAGGTATATGCCATCATGCAGGTAAATAAGAACAACCAGAATGACAAAGTGACTGTTAATCTTCCACCTACTGTAAACTCTCTGCACTGTTTTGATTAGAATAGACCTGTCTGCCAAATGCTGCCACACACTATACACTGCGTGGCAATAGATCGAGTATACCTCCTGGCAGTACTCAATAAAGTAGGGGCACATCTGAAGTAATTTCCTTATATTTGCTGGAAGTAAGTAATGTAAAACAATCAGTGTTTGGTTCTTGTTAAACTCCCAGGTAATGCTTCCCTGTAATGTTATGTTATCAGGGTATATTACAGCCTTGCTTTACAGACCATGATCGAACAGTGTGATCCTTGCCTTGGTTTCTTAAAATTGGGTTTGGATTTGTTCTGGGAGAACATTGCCTCAACTTGATGTGTGATTGAGGATGCTCTCTCTGCAAAATTCTACCACATGATCAACTGGCTGAACCATTCACCATAACAATATGGACCAGTGGACCAGTAGACTTTCCAAAATCCTACCATCCAAACAAAACGGTGTCTGTACTGTGTTCTGTGACATTCAATGTTTCACCAAGCAGCTTCGAAGTGATACGCCTTAGAACCTTATATATTGCTTTCTAGGACCCACCTGACTATTGTAACTCACTGTGACATGCAATATCTTTGCATTGAAGTAGGTTTCGGAAAAAAGCATCTGTCGCAGTCACGATACACGTGCTGACTGTCAGGTTTTACAGCAGTCTGTGTATTGAACCACTTTGGAACAGACAATGTGAAATGCACCTTTAAACGGGAATAAAACAAAGGGGTAGCAACCAGTGCTGGATGTTGTATATCTCTATAATGTTCCTATGTATTTTAGAGGAAAAATATATTTGAA